TAAAGCCACGTACTGCTTAGTGGCTGTTGCTGGTTAGGCGGCTGGTTGTTGCTGGCGTGCTAGCGGTCATTGCGTGCTGGCGGTTGGTTGCTGGCGTGCTAGTGCGTGGCTATTGCTGGTGTAAAGCTAGTGGTCGCTTGTTGGTGCAGGCTTAGTGGCTGGCTGGTGGCGTGCTAGTGGTTGCTGGTTGCGGTTAGCGGTCACAGGCGTGCAGCAGTTTAGTGGCTGCTGGCGGTGTAAGGCCGCGTCGCTGGGCGGCGGTGCTGGGCATTTGCCTGGCGGAAGAAGTGGCTGGCTGGCGCGGTGTTGAAAGTAATGCCGCTGGTGCGTTGAAGTGGTTTGCTGTTGGTGTTGAAGTGGCTGCTGGTGGTGCAAGAAGTGCTGCTGGCGTGCGCGCGTTAGTGGTTGCGGTGTGTGTTAGTGGCTGTTGCTGGTGCGTTAGTGGCTTGCTTGCTGCTGGTGCGTGCTGTGGTCAGTGGTGTGGTCATGCTTGCTGGTGCGTTAGCGGCTGGTGCGCGTTGTGGTCAGGCGTGCTAGTGGTCGCCGGTTGGCGTGCGTTAGCGGTCATTACTGGTGCGTGCCAGCGGTCAGCGGTGCGGCTCAGTGAACAGGTGCGTTAGGGCGGCCTGCCTGGTTGCGTGTTGTGCGGTTGCTGGTTGCGTGTGTTGCGGTCGCTGGCGCGCGTTAGTGGTCGGTTGGTGCGTGCCGAGTACATTGCTGGTGCAAAAGCCAGGCATTGCTGGTGTGCGCTTAGTGGTTGGCGGTGTTAGTATTGCCGCTGGTGTAAAAGCCAGCGGCTGGTGCGCCAGTGGTCAGGTGTGCTAGTGGCTTGCTTTCGCTGGGCGCAGCCAGTGGTCATTGCCGGTGCGTTAGCGGTCGCGGCGTGTTATATGGTCGGTTGCTGGTGGCGCGTGCTGGCGGTCGGTTGCTGCGTGCCAGTGGTTGTTGGTGCATAGTGGTCATTGCTGGTGCGTTAGTGGTTGCTTGCCTGGTGCGGTTGCTGCTGGCGTGTAAGCTGCTTGTTGCTCGTGCGCCAGCGGTCATTGAAGGCGCGTAAGCATAGTGGTCATGCTTGCTGGTGCAAGCGAATTATTGCTGCCGTGCGTGTGCTAGCGGTCACTGGCGGTGCGTGCCAGCGGTCGCCGCTGGTGCGTGCCAGTGGTCGTTGCTGGCGTGGTTAGCAAGCGGTCACGGTTGGTGCAAGCTCAGCGGTCGGTTGGCTTCGGTGTGCCAGTGGCTGGTGGTGTGTGCTGGTGGCTGCTGCTGGTGCGTGTTAGTGGTTGCTGGTGTGCGTTAGTGGTGGCTGGTTGCCAGTGGTTGCGGTGCTTAGTGGTCATTGCTGGTGTGCGTTAGTGGCATTGCTGGCGGGTAGTTAGTGGTTGCTGCCTGCTGGTGCGTGTTAGCGGTTGGTGGTGCAAGCAGGCTGGTTGCTGGTGTGCTGGCGGTTGCTTGCTGTGCTGTGTGTTAGTGGTCATTGCTGGTGTGTGTTAGTGGTCGGTTGGTGGTGCGTGCCAGCGGTCGTCGCTGCCGGTGCGTAGCGGTTGGTGGTTATATTGCGTTGCGGATTGCTGGTGTTGGGTCATGGCTGGTGTGCGTTAGCGTCTGTTGTTGCGTGCAAGTGGCTGGGTTGCTGGTGCGTGCTAGGCGGCTGCTGGCGGTGCGTGCCAGTGGTCGCTGGTGGTGTGTGTTAGTGGTCATTGCTGGTGTGCTCAGTGCTGGTTGGTGCCAGTGGCTGCTGCTGGTGTGCTAGCGGTTTGCTGGGCTGTGCGTCAGTGGTCATTGCTGGCGTGTGTTGCAGTGGTCATTGGTGCGGTCATGGTTGCTGTTGCGTTAGTGGCTGGTTTCGCGTCGCCAGCGGCTTGCTGGTTGCTGTGCGTTGCGGCTCGGTTGCTGGCGTGCGTTGCGGCTGGCTGGTGGCGTGCTGGCGGTCGCCGGTGCGCATTGCTGGTGCGTGCTTAGTGGTCATTGCTGGTGTCAGCGAATGGCTTGCTCGGCGTGTCAGGCGGTCGGTTGCTGGCGTGCGTTAGTATTGCTTGCTGGTGTGCTAGTGGTCGGGTTGGCGGTGTGTAAGCGTGGTCGTTGCCGGTGCGGTTAGCGGTCACTGGCGGTGCGCAAGCCAGCGGTCAGCTGGCGTGCGTGTGTGTAAGCAAGCGTCGTTGAGTGGTTAGTGTTTGCTGGCGTGCGTTAAGCGGTCGGCTGGCGTGCGTTAGTGGTCTGCTGGTGTGCGTGTTAGCGGTTGCTGGCTGGTGCGGGTTAGGGGTCATATTGGCTGGCCAGCGGTTGTTGCTGGTGCGTGTTAGGGTGGTCAGTTGCTTGGCGTGCGTGGTCGCCGTTGGTGCAAGCCAGTGGTGCGTTGCGTGCTGGCGAGGTTGCGGTGTGTGCTTAGCGGTCGGTTGCTGGTGCGCGTAGCGGATTGGTTGCTTGGCGTGTGTTAGGTGGTTGCTGGTTAGTGGCTGGTTGCTGGTGCGTGTTAGTGGTTGCTGCTGGGGTGGTCAGTTGCAGTGGCTGCTGCTGGTGGTGCGGTTAGTGGTCATTGGCTGTGCAAGAAGTTGCTGCTAGTGCGGTTAGTGTACTGCTGGTGTGTGCTAGCGGCTGGTTGCTGCTGGTGTTAGCGGTCATGCTCGTGCGTCAGTGGCTTGCTGGCGTGCGTTAGTGGCTTGCCTGCTGGTGCGTTAAGTATCAAGGCGGCGTGCCAGGCGGTCAGCTGGTGGCGTAAGGTGGTCATTACAGTCGATTGCTGTTGGTGCGTTAGCCATGGTTGCTGGGGCGTTACGGTTGGTGTGTTAGCGGTTCTGCTGGCGTGCGTTAGCTGGTGCGCAGTTAGTGGCTGGTTGCTGGTGCGGCTATGGCTGGCGTGGCTAGCGGTTTGCTTGCTGCGTGCGTTAGCGGCTGCTGGTGCGTGTTCAGTGGCTTGTTGCTGGTGCGTTAGTGGTCATTGCTGGTGTGTTAGCGGTCATTGCTTCGCTTGCGCGCGTTGCGTCGGTGGTTTCGTGCTAGCCATTGCTGTTGGTGCGGTTAGTGGTTGTTGCTGGTGTGCGTAGTGGTTGGCTGGTTGGTAAGCAGTGGCTTGCTGGGTGCGTGCGTTACAGTGGCTGGTTGCTGGCGTGCGTTAGCGGTCAGGTTGCTGGCGTGCTAGCAGGGTCATTGCTGGCGTGCGTTAGTGGTTGCTGGCGTGCGTTAGTGGTCAGGTTGGTGCGTTTAGCGTGGTCATTGCTGGTGCGTGCGTTAGTGGTCGCTTGCTGGTGTTAGTTCGGCTGGTGGCGTGCCAGGCGGGTCGTTGCGTGCGTTAGCGGGTCGGTTGCTTGGTGCGTGTTAGGTGGTCGGTTGCTGCGTTAGGCGTGGTTTGCTTGCTGGTGCGTTAGTGTCATTGCTGGCGTGTTAGTCATTGCGCGGTTAGTGATTGCTTGCTGGTGTGCGTTAGCGGTCATTGCTGGTGTTAGCAGGCTGGTTGCTTGGTGCGTGCCAGTGGTCGCTGGCGTGCGCCAGTTGCTGGTTGCGGTGCGTTAGTGGCTGGTTGCCGGTGCGTGCTAGTGGTCATTGCTTCGCTTGCGCGTCAGCGGTCGGTTGGCTGCGTGCGTTAGTGGTCGCTGGTTGGTGCGTGGTCGGTTGCTTGGTTGTGTGTTAGTGGTCTGCTGGTGGCGTGTGCGTTAGGCGTATTGCTGTTGCTGGTGTGCGTTAGTGGTTGTTGCTTGCGTGCGTTAGTGGTTGTTGCTGGTGTGTTGGCGGCTGTTGGTGGTGCGTGCGTTGGTGGTTGCTGGTGGTTAGCGGTTGCTGTTGCTGGCGTGCGTAGTGGTCATTGCTGCGTGCTAGTGGCTTGCTTGCTGGTGTGCGTTAGTGGTCATTGCTGGTGTGCGTTGGCGGTCATTGGTTGGTGCGTGCTTAGGTGGTCGCTGGTGGCGTGTGCCAGTGGCTGTTGCTGTGCGTGTGTTAGCGGTTTGCCTGCTGGTGTGTGCGTAGCGGTTGCTGTTGCGTGTCAGTGGCGGGTGCTTGAATATTGCTGTGGTGTGCGTTAGCGGTCGGTTGCTGGCGTGCGTTAGTGGCCGGTTGCTGGTGCGTTGGCGGTCGCTGGTGGTGCGTGTTAGTGGTTGCTTGCTGGTGCGTGCTTAGTGGCTGGCGTTGCGTTAGCGGTCGCTGCTGGCGTGCGTAGTGGTCGGCTGGCGTGCGTTGAGCGCACTGGTTGGTGGCGCGGTGGTTAGCGGTCGCTGGCGGTGTGCGGCGGTTAGTGGCTGTTGTTGGTGGCGTGCGCTGAGTGGTTGCTGGTGGTGCGTTAGTGGTTGGTTGCTTGCGCGTGCCAGTGGCTGGCTGGTGGCGTGCTGAAGTGGCTGGTTGCTGGTGCGTGCTTGGCGGCTGTTGCTGGCGAAGTGGTCGCTGCTGGAGTGCGTTAGCGGTTGCTGGTGTGTCAGTGGTCATTGCTGCGCAGGCGGTCATGGCTGGTGCGGTTAGGTCGCTGGTTGGTGCAAGCGCGGTGCGTTTGCAGTGGCTCGCTGCTGCTCGTGGGCGTGTAGC